GGTAATTAAACCTCCTTGATTGTTCTATTACACAAAGATTACATGACAGTAAAGGATTCGAACATCACTAATCTTTATCTCATTTCTAAAGGTGCACGGAAATGAGAACCAACGCGTAAAATGTGAATGATGCTTACTCATAAGTGTGTGTCAGCTTTGGGCAGGCCTGGCTCACGGAGACCCAGAGATTTAAGGCATCTTAATATGTAAGCATATATCTATTTTATTCTTTCACCATGAAAATTAAACATGGGTGAAAAACACCAACCATGAAATCTCATTTATAGTAGCCAGAAATAAACTGCCAGCATTTATATTTTATAACTCATGGCAGTTCCAGAGGCATTTTTCCTATAATTTCTACAGAAACCTTTGATTCCTAATTCGCACCTATTGCCAGAAATCAAGGACCAACTTTTAGGCTACTTACTTCTCGCCTGCTAATTTCTGCCTTTTTAAACTCATTAATTTTCTCAGACTTAGGTTCCATTTCCAAGACTTCAGAGTATAGACTTGCATCAGAATCACCAGATCAGGATTTGGTTGCAAATGCAGCTTTGATTCCCTTCTGAGGCAGCATCCCTGAGGCTATGGCCAAAGTGCCTGTGTTGAATAAGCCCAGGAAGATGCTTGTACAGGTGCTTTGACACAAAATCCCTTATGGGCAAGGGCCAATTATTACAGGTCTCTGCCTCTCCAACATCCAACCAGATGCCCAGCCAAAAAATAGCAATCAGAAAGCATGCTGAACTAAACTCTTTCTTTCTTTTCTTTTCTTTTCTTTTTTTTTTTTTTTGTACTGGGGATTGAACTCAGGGGCACTCCACCACTGAGCCACATCCCCAGCTCTATTTTGTATTTTATTTAGAGACAGGGTCTCGTTGACTTGCTTAGTACCTTGTTGTTGCTGAGGCTGGCTCTGAACTAGATCCTCCTGTCTGTCAGCCTCCAGAGCCGCTGGGATTACGGGTGTTCACCACCTAACCCAGTAGGTCTTTCCTTTTTAACAGTATTTTAATAAAAAACAAAATGTCACATTATGTGGAATTCTGCTGCTCCATCCCACTTGCTGTAAAACAATCCAGTCGATACCCTCAGAACCTCTTTGATGTGACCTGCCCATATTGCCAGCTCCCCAGACCAGAAAGAAAGATGGTTCCCATGGTACCAGGACTGGTACCTCCTGGCCCTTTGTGGCCATTCTGTCTTCTTCTCTCTAGGGTCGCCATATCACCAAGTATCAGAAGCAGGTGGCCTTATCATCTGTGCAACTCTGAAACCACTGTCTTCTATCTTTACATCAGAGTCACCCAGAAGCTTGCTTCAAAATGAATGCTCCTGCGTGAATTTCCAACTAGAGGTAAGAACCTGCAAGGTGAGGTTTGGGGAATTGGGTTGTGCAGACAACAGCCTGTCCCCAGATGATTTTGACACTGAAGACCCCTGAATTATTTGTAGAGAAATTTCTATTTAACTCAGTCCTTGAAGATGTCCCTCTACTTCCTCTTTTGGGGGGTGAAGTGGGGGCGGGGCTGTGTCCCCTGGACTATTCTTGATTTAGGAGGTGGAGTAAGAGCTGCTGGGCTGGGGTGGAGTGGGGTTGAGCTGGCAGGAGTAAGAGGGGGAAGTCCCTTCTTTATCAGATGCTCAACCCTGCACCTATAAACATGATGCAGCACTCTTGTTTGTTTTTGGGTACCAGGGATATGCTTTACCACTGAGGCACATCCCCAACCCTGTTATATATTTTATTTAGAGACAGGGTCTCTCCGAGTTGCTTAGGCTTTCGCTAAAATTGCTGAGGCTGGCTTTGAACTCCACAACCCTCCTGCCTGAGCCTCCTGAGTGGCTGGGATTACAGGCACCTGCCTCTGCACCAGGCTGATATAGCACTCTTGGATGCAAGTCTTAATCTGAAAACCTTTCCTCCAAGAGCTTTTAGAGGACCTCCTGAAAACTGAGGGAGGGAGTGGGGGAAACTCACATTTTCCTTTTCTTCTTTTTAAATTTTATGTATTTATTATGGTACTGGGGATGGATCCCAAGGCCTCATGCATGCTAGGCAAGTGCTTTTCCACTGAGCCACATCCTCAGCCCTTTTTTGGTTTGAGACAGGGTTGCCCAAGCTGGTCTTGAACTTGGGATCCTCCTGCCTCAGGCTCCAGAGAAACTCACATTTCTTGAGTGTTGTTTTCCCAGGAACATTAATTAATTAACATTAACTAATTCCCTTGCTGAGGGCCATTAACAAGTAGGAATGACGCATCGAAATTTCCTTGCCAAGGTACCCCATGCTGCTTAGAGGACATTCGATGGGACATTGCATGCATGCTTTAATAAGGTGACCTTGCTCAAGGACCAAGGCGGATCCGGGATTAGAGCTGATCAGGTTTGAGGAAGTAACCAGCTCCTTGAGTTTAAGGCGTTGCCAGTTTAAGATAATGGGTTTTAGGGAAGTTAGAGATTGAAGATTATTGCTGGGATTAGGGTGTTCCTGCTGCTTGTTCCCATTGAGTTCTCGTGAGATTAAAATGGGATTTGGAGATAGCCTCGTGGAGTAGGTGGATTGTGCGGGAGACGGCAGAACGCGATTGCCCCTGGACCTGTGTGGAGGCGGTGTGAGAGCGGGAATAAAGAATTGCTGTTTGAACCTAGGAAGGTGTGTGGTGGCTCGTGATTCTGGTGCCAAGCTGAGACCTTGGCATTCCCTGCCCACACCCAGGCGAAGGTACCTGCTTCAGTTGCTCCACACTCCTGAGGGCACCCAGGTCCCCTTTCCTAGAGTAGAGCCTCTACCTGACCTTACAGCTCTCTGGAGTGTGGACTGCAGCTTTCTTCCCCAGACAGCCTCTGCTCCTCAGAGCTGACTGATATTCTCTCCTTCTCCCAGCCCACACCCTCAAGTGCTACTCAAATTCAGGATCCAGTTGGGAGGTGCACAGACAAGGTTCACCCTGGAGCCTGGAATGTGCTCCCTGAGAGGCCTTTACCAACTGGGTGTTGGCTGTGCGGCAGCCTGACCTGCTTAGAACACGGCTTCTCTTCATCGCAGCCTCTAGAATTACATTATTACCCACAGATCTGTGCAAAGCAGAGACAAGTCATTTCTCCTAATATACTGTCAGTTTTCCTGGAAGTTCTGTTGTCTTGTAGGAGCCGACTCACAGGCCGTCTATCAAGATCATATTTCTCCTTGTGACGCCCCTGTGCTATGGCTTCCAGTCTCATCAAAGCAGTGAAAGCTAATTTTACAGCAGTATTTCTGAACGTGAAAGAAGGAACCATGCATATAGCTTTGGCCACCCGAGGCAATTCGGGGGCTGTATTTTGCATGAAGGCCAACCAAACCCCTTCAACACTCTGACTTTTGGGTACTGGGAATATGGGGGCTTTTCAGAAAGTTTAGCAGCATTTTTTTTTTTTCTGGTTTCTTGAGCCCAGACTTTCAGAAAAGCCCCCCCACACACACACACCCAGTGTCTCCCACTGCCAACCCATCTTCTGCTGCCACAGAGATCTTCCTACAACCAAGATTTCTTCTTCCTTTTCCTTTAGAAAGAAGGTAGATCTCCCTCTGGTTGTAGCTTCCAAGGACTTTTCATCTACTGTCCAGGGCTCCGCTCTGTAGGACATCCGTTTTGTCCCAGCCATGCTGACCAACCGGCCCCTTCGAATAGGACTCCCTGAACTCACCCAGGCTTGACTTCTGCTGTTCCCTGCTGTCTTTCCCACCTGGGCCTCTTGAAATCCCACCTAACTCTCAAACTCCACACCCTGAGGCCCAGGTAGAGATCACTGGATGGGATCAACACCTGGCTTCATCATTTACTTGCTGTGTGACTATGGGAAAGGCACTCTCACTCTGAGCTTTAGTTTGTTCATGTTCAAAAATGAGGACTGAGTCAAAGGATGTCTAAAGAAGAGAAGACCAAGTCCCCAAACAGTTTTCACCTTCCAACTCAATCCTCTGAACCATTGTTCCCTCCCTTCTCACCCAGAGCCAAGAACACACTGAATTACCAGAGCTGAGAGTGTTTGTTGTCACCCCACTACACTTGGAGACTTTAGAGGTCAAGGGCTGATGCCTCATGCCTGGCCCTTAGGAGCCACTTGGATGAGGAGTTAGTGTGTCTCCTTCTTCACAGTGAGACCTACACAGGGTCATTGCTTCAGTGTGGTGGTGTGGAAATAAAGATGCTCAGAGCTCAGAATGAACCAGAACTGTAGGGTCTTAAGCATGGTACAATTTGTCTCCTACTCTGGAAAGGAAGGACAGACGGTGTGATGTCTCTACAGAGACCACCCTACCTCAGGGGGCTGCTCAGAGGATTCAGTGCACTACTGCGGGTAAAGCCCACCATCAGTATTTTTGGGAGGTCAAGAGCTTTTGGTTTGGACCCTCCCCAGCCTTGGCCATGACTCCCCTGGTGAAACCTCTGAATGCCGGTTCATCGGTTTTGAAAGCATTAGGAACTGTGGCCCTACTGTCTCCTGACCCAGGGGCGCAGTGTGACTTTCACACCTCCTAAGCACTTTCATTTTTATAGACAGCTTTTTCCATAAAATAATAATACACGAATTATATTTTAGGATGCATTGGTATAAAGATGAGTATAATCCTGGCTGTGTTCATTCTTATATGTTGCTTATTATTCCGCTCATTTTCTTCCTGCTGTTAAAAAAACAAAACAAAACAAAAAAACGGTGGCCCCAGACACTAAAGCCACAGATCCTGATGCGAGTGTCAGAATCCTCTCACCTCACCCGCACTGTTTTCATTTTTTTCAAACGTCTTTGCAGTTCTCAATGTC